CCATCTATCCATCTATCCATCTGTCCATCTGTCCATCTGTCCATCTATCCATCTATCCATCTATCCATCTATCCATCTATCCATCTATCCTAATGACGAGGAGTCTCCACTGCTGATGTTCCAGTAACAGAATGGTTTTCAACTGCTGAATTTACACCAGCTGAAGTAATGAGCTGGCTACTAACAGGCCAAAGACATAAGCCACTCGATGGTGAAAGCTTACAAATATGCGTAGAGTTTAATCATGACTGCGTGGAGAATAACTCATCTCATAAGATTTGTTGCCCGGTGGTTAGTGCAAGTACGAAGCAGATTACTCTCCCAGTATCTCATATGAGTACCCTTGAGGAATTCAATAAAGTTTTTACTCTGGCATTCAGCCAAGGACAAGCGTTTGGAAATGCTTAAATTTATACGCAGGACAGCTCCCCGATATATTCCTGGATGGATAGATGGATAGATGGTTTATTTGCTAAAAGAGTTGCAGTCAAAAACTGAAATACACTATAGCCTACAATTAAAATTTTCTAAGAAAAATATATGAATGTATCAATACTCGATATATTCCTGGTTGGGGAGTTGCGGCACGGCCCCTCATACCCTGATCCTGTTTAAGACAAATATCGCTGATTTTCCTACCCTGTTTAAGACAGAATTCCGATTTTTGATACCCTGTTTAAGACATTTAATGTGCCTTGTATCAATGCCAAAATCAACGGAATTCAACATTAATTAAAATTAGAGCTTGTAAAAATTTTGTTGTTTATCTTCCAAGAAAAGATATCCTGTTTAAGACAAAAATTGATAAATCGATACCCTGATTAAGACAAAAAATGATAAATTAGATACCCTGTTTAAGACAAAAATCTCGAAAAACATACCCTGGCTGGCCGCACGTCTCCATTAAGCCCCTATAAGGGAGTACCCCTCCCCCCCGGGGACAGCTCAGACATTTTTCAATCAAATTCTTGTTGTTGTAAGATTTAGCTCTTGTTTTGTGTCATTATAAGAAGTCCAAGTGATTGAATGATGAATAAGTTTTTATATTAAGAAATATTTGAGTTTAGACCCTGTCACTCATCCAAGGACAAGCGTTTAGAAATGCTCAAATATATAAGAAGGACAGCCCAACATTTTTTATTCAAACCTTGTTGACATTGCGAGGTTTAGTTCCTGTTTTGTGTTATTATGCGAACGCCATAGGATTGAATAATTTTTTATATTGTTATGAACATTGATTTTCCAAGTGTTAAACGTTTGTAAACAATTAAACTTCCTTTGTTCGCAGCGACTGCTTCAAAAGTAAATTACAATAAAAGTTAACATTACAAGAAACCAATGAGAACTGAAAGTAAATACGCGTAACCGGCGCAGAAAACCAAGACCAAGTCACGCATGGTTTCAGTTTTGTATCAGATTGGTGGAGTAGGGGGTGCGAGTTTCTGGACCAATCACAGCGTAGCAAGGCAAAACTAATACAATCCAAGATGATCTTGTCACTAAAATGAAAATTGTTCTTTGATTGGGTGGGCGGGCAAAGTTGAACAATCATAGTGGCCTTTGAACAAGCTATGAACCTGATCTGGCTACCCGTCAAGTTATAAAAGCCTAAACAGTCCGATTATCTGCCAGGAATTGATTGGGCTGTGTTAGTCACCAGCTGGACTTGGCAAGGAAAAACAGGGGAGTGCAAAATTACCCTAGTTAGGAGGGCGTATCCCGCTACTAAAAGAATTTTTCCTCTACCCCAATTTTTTTCGATAAATACTACAGTAGCCGACTCCTCGAGCCAATATAACTGCTACAATTTTAAACCCAAACAGGAAAGGGACTGAGGGACTTCACTGACTAGAAATTTCACAGATGACGCTTACAAAGGTGAAAGGCGTGGCCTTTAAAATTTACTATCAATTCTGCGTAGAAGTTGAAAGAATAAGCGATTAGTTACCGTTACCGTCACCATAATTCAACAAACCACAAGAAAACACAACTAGTTGAAGCCATCGTATTTCGTTAATGGAGTAATTATAGCCCTATTGACTCGCTAAGTTACTTGAGTGAAGATCCACCCACGGCAATTTCAATAAGTCGATTGTAAAGATTCAGCGCTTCCCTCCAATTGTCAGGTGGCATTAATCCGGTGACATCTACAACGTTCTGAAAGTATTCTTGATAGTCATTATCAATTTCATCAGCCCCTAGATAATTTTAATTTCCAAAACATACTGGCACTGTTCCTTAGTAACAGGGTTCTTGTAATCCTGAGTTGAACGTAATTCAGAAAAATAAAAGAGTTCATTAGGTCTGCCTGCGACAGTTTCCTGTCGTGACCAACGGATGAAATGGGTATTCCAATTATCTTTCACACTAAGTCAATGCCAGCGTGGATTTCCTCCGCTTGCATTGATGGGTTTAGCCGTAAAGTACTGTGGTTAACAACGAGATTGTTTGCAGATAACCGTTTCCCATATCGTAGTATAAATAGTCCAGTTGACTGCTAAAACATACATAAAGATTTAGATCCCCGTCCGTATGCCTACAAAAGTTTGGCCCTGGGTTTACATATGAGCGCCTTTGCAGACGATGTCTGCGTCTCATCTCACAGCATAGTTAACAGCCATCAGGATGATCCATTTCTCTCAGCCATGCTTCAACCAAATATCTTGGAATCATGTACCCCCCCCCCCGGCGTAACGTGTGCCAGACATTTCGGTAACCAGATAAACAGCTAGGCCCATCAAGCCCTGTTGTATTCCTGCCCTAACTTCCGTTTTCATCGAAATCACCACCCCTGCGAAGCAGACCGAGTGATTCGTACCTGCTCTTAAGGGTCCCGAGACTCATTTCTATGACCATGGAACTTATATAGAAAAGACACAATCACCTCATATTCGTACCTTTGCCAAAAATAGTACTTCAACAAGAGCCTCTGTTTGTCGAGTCTTTTTCCGCAGCTACAGCAGAAATTGTCATTTAAGAATGCAATTTCTTTGCAAGACCAAGAACAAATACGTAATGCGCGATATTGAAATGTACAATGTCATGTGCAATCAGTGTTTGAACGGTACGTGAGTTGATTTTATTTTGCCGCGAGTTGGATTTGTTTTTCCGTGAGTTGATTAAATTTTGCCGTGAGTTAACAAACAAAAAACAAAACAAAACTTTCTTATTCTGATTACAGACATACATAATTGAAAATTCTTATTACAAAAATACATGATTAAAATGGTTTGCCCCGCAAATAGTTAAGAAGCTAGTCGCGGCGGGGCAAAACAAGAACGTGATTAAAATAACAAGTTATGAAAGAATAATTAACAATTGGTTCATGCTTTAGCGTGCACTATCGAGTTATGGAGCGCGCGGGAAGTTTGGAGAGCTCGAAAGAAGCGTAAGAGTTGCCCGAGGCGATAGCCGAGGGCAACTCTAGCTTCTTGAGTGCTCTCCAAACTTCCCACGTGCTCCATAACTCGATAGTGCACAGCTGAAAGCATGAACCAATTGTTTTAGAACATAGCCGGTGGAATTGTGCATCAAATGCGACGCGAAAAACGGACAACAATATCAGTTGAAGCGAATCGTGACGGCGCTGATGCCGAGTCTCCTTTTCCTTTGTTTTTCTCTTTTTCTGCCTCATTTAAGAACTCTAGCCCATTGGAAAAGGTCGAAACATTGTCTTCGTTTTCGGACCAGCAGGCCGAGTTTCTGTTTGTATCCATTATTGTCGCGAAATGTATTATTTTTCCCCGCACTAGCAATGGCCGCTCGCGCGAAAAAAAAATTTCTGGCAAAGTCGGATTTGCTGACGCTATCAGCGTGCACTATCGGGATTTTGAGCACGCTCACGTATAATGAATTTAATTGCGCGACTCTGCTAGCTATGTTCTAATAATAAATAAGGCAAACCTATGTTAATTGAAAAAAAACCTTGCAGATTTCAACTAGAGATAAATAAAACACAGAAGCGGGAGATCAAATTAACACAGCACTTACGGACGATGTATAAAGGCAAGGAGTTGTAAAAGGAAAACAGACGTAAAAATGGGACCCTCAACGCGCGTTTCTATGATCCTACATTTTTAATAATCGTGGGGATTTCAATATACTCATCCTACTTTACCAATACATCAAGTAACAATTTGCAGAGATCTTTTTTGAAAGCTTTCTTTGGGAGATTGGTTATGTGGCTTGGTATCCCATTCCACAGTTTAACTCCGAGCCGAGAAAAAAGAGTTGTTTTGTATTTCAAGTCTAGAATATTTAACATAAAACTTGCCAGACGTAGAAGATCGTGTATTGTATGAGTGGATATTAGACGCTTTCTGAAATAAATTTAACATGTTTGCTGGGGCTTTACAATTATTGATATCCTGCATTATGGTTGATACGGACTCATAGTAAAGAAAAGTTATTGGAAGCACGTTAGCTTCGAAAAAAAAAGGAATTGCATGGTCATGCCATTCGGCAAAGCATAATAAACGAGTTGGACTTGTTTTGCCACGAGTTGATTTTATTTTGCCGTGAATTATTCTAAATTGCCGTGAGTTGATTTCATTGTGCCGTGAGTTATTATATTTTGCCCTGAGTTGGATTTGTTTCGCCGTGAATTGATTTTATTTTGCCTCACGGCGTTTTATTTTAAGTAAAATGATTTTAATTTGACTTGCACTTATGGGCCACCGTAGAAGTCGGAGTCCATAAAACGCAAAAAAAGAACTCGGCTTATAATAAATTGATTATATAGCAAAAAGATTTCGCCTTACTAAGAATCAAGGATGAATTTATTATTTCGAGAGCCGGGAAAGAAAGCCAAATGTGTTTGTAGTACATTGAACCCAAAAGTCCTCCGCACTTTTTGTCTTGCGCGGGATCAATACGAGCAATCCCGAGAAGGCCAGATGGGCCGCGCATGGATAGCCAATCAAGACACAGGGCCGGATTCGCTTCATATTGCGCACGGATACTGCCAGCGGTATAATAAATAAAAAAAATATGCTGTTAAATGCACTTGATAAAAGAAATATTTGTTTATTGGGCTCAGAAAAAGCTTGTCAAAGGAGAATTAAACACAGGAATAGGTTAGAGACTTCCTTGGCACTTTACCATAAATTTACTACAAAGTGAGCCACAAAGCTACTTGTTGGACAAAAAATATGGCGCGATTACAACCATGTTTTTATTACACTGACGCCTTCTCAGTTGTTTGAAAAATATCTGTACAGGACAAGACATACGGCTGATATGCAATTAACCACTGATATAGGTAGGATACGAGTCATTTCATTCTCCATGATTGGCACATTTGATATGATAATTACACCATTTATACAGTCAATTCCCTCATAGTTGGCATTATGTTATTACTTGATCAGGGAGAAGACTTATCTGGTACTCCTTTCCTTTTGTTGCTCCAGCCACTGAGCCAGAGTTTACTTTCTTGTGAGAGCTTACTAGGGGAGAGACCTTTATAGGGTAGAGGGGGGGGATCGGTACATAAAATCCTCAGGTGATCAAGACATCTCTTCAGGAACCACTTCCTTGATGCAGATCTTCAAGAGGTTGGAAACTTATTTGAGTCATTCAATAGGAACTTATCCTGAACATATCCAGATAAGAAGTTGATTGTACAAATATGATGTGCTTCAATATGCTTCAATTTTCCTTCAACTTATGTCATGCTGTAAGATAAAATATTACTGGTAAGCCTTAGATGTTATACTATACAATTATAATATATAATCCAAAAACACATAAATTAAGTTCATAGAAAGGAGACAACTTCCCCACTAAAAATTTTGCTTTGTCCAAGTTACATAAAATTCTAGACTAGAAATATTGTGTTGAAGTCATGAAAGTATTCCCCAAAAAATCATGAGATTTTTGTCCTTAATTTAAATTTCACCTTTAGTTCATGAATTGCCTACACAGAAATTACTCACCTCTCAAACAGCGATGCTCTCATACTGCTGGTAATAGCTGAAGGTTGAGCATCTCCTAATTTGAACACACTTTCTATCACAGACAGTTCAGTACTTGTAGTGTCCAGTCCACAAAATGATACCCAGTCATTTACAACCATTCCTGCTCCAACAACATCACTTCCTCTGTTGACTGTCCCAGCCTAAATAAATTTTAACCACTTTTGATGAATAACATGGTAGCACATGGGACAAAATATAACCCTTTTTCTCTTCACATTAGCACATTTATAGATAATAATAATAATAATAATAATAATAATAATAATAATAATAATACTAATGTTAGCTAAACCATGAACTCACCACCAGAGGGACTTGCAACAGTGATGACAACTCATCTTGATCTTCAACAGGTGTTCTAGGATGAACCTAAAAAGCAATGTTTAGATTCAATTCCATTTGTAGCAAACAGTAGTTGCATTATATGTATGATACTATTTATTTTCACTAGGTGGATAGCATGCTTTACTTTCAATAGCATTTTCCAGGAATTGATCACTTCTAGGTAGGCTAATACTTATTTTGAATCTCTTGCATCATAAATGAAATTGACAAAAGAACATAAAATAAAATGTGTATAATTATACTGAACTATATCATTCAACATTTTTGGTCTAACAAAGTAACTACAACAGTCAAAACACAAATGCAGTATGACAATCCAACACTTACTAGCCCACCATTATTACTAAGAGCACAGTAGCTTCCAACTAAAACATTCCCTGCCACAGTTTGACGAAACACCTCCACCTTCAGAGTATCTGCTAAAATTTCCTCAGTCTCCTGAAAAGTAAAAATCATGTTGTTGTATGAATCCTATAAAATAATGTCCTTTATCAGGGTTGAATGGATACAACTTTGTTTATACTGTCCCAAAGACCAATAAATCACACTGGAGTTGGGGTTGTTTGTTTGGCAGTTCTTTTAAAATGTTGATTTGCCTCAAGAGAGTAGATGCATTTTTTACTTATTGCTTATATTCATAGGTCTCAGTCCCTCACATATTTTTAAACCAGGCTATTTTTAGGAATAAGAGCCAACTTTTTCACAATGTTACTAGCTTATAAAATACTTACCCTGTCTAAGTCAGGGTGTACAAGGGCAACATAGTCATTACAAACAATTACATTTCCTAGTGCTGAAAGTCTCTCCTCCACTCTCTGTATCTTCACTGAATCAGGCAAGGCATTTCGAATGTGCTGAAGTTCCTTTAGAAAAGTATAGAGGAAAATTTAACACTTTTAACATTTGCCAGAATAACACAAATGTGCAACTAAGTGGCAGACAGGACAAAGCCACGATAAATATTCAAAAATTAAAGGTCCATCCCTGCAACAAGGTCTTTTGTTTTTGTGTAAACTGAGACAAAGTTGAGTGCATGGTTACATGTAAAATGACAAATGTAGGTATCTTATTTTGTCACAAATAAAGTAAAAGTAAAGCAGAGCCAATACCCTGCAATAGAAAGTTGTCAGTCAACAACCCACCATCATGGAATTTTACGTCAGCTTTATGCTTGTGAAAATGAAATAAAAAAGAAAGGGGTATCCAAATATTACCTGATCTGTTGTTGTATTTGGAACAAGAAGACCATTTCTATTACCTGAAATTTAACAAATTCTATGTGTTTAACAGTTCTTTTTCGATGCCACTTGCAGACCTTGAGTGAGAGTCAAAATGAAGTAAAAGAAGGCAGAGACAAGTATTAAGACTGGTAATATGAAAGAAGAAGGCAAGTGCACTCTGCATCAGCAAGTCTCACCATTGTAGATATAGTACAATGATGAATATATAATTTGGTCTTTCACTTGCGATGAAGCTACTTATTACATGTATGTCTTTACTTTAGGTATTACATAATTATAAACCCCTATATACTGAGAGGGCTTCAGACAATAGACAAATTCTTACCAACACATAGTCTCCCAACAATCCTTACACCTGCAACTGATGTTCGAATTACAGGAATTACATCTGAGAGTTCACCTTCAAAAACACTTCAAACACAATAAATAAATTAGTAAGTAAACAGTTCCCTTCCTGTCAAACAGATGACTTCACTTCACCTTGTCCTGTTTGTATTATAACTGGTTCAAAGACTGGAGATGACCATTTTCCTTTTATTTACAAAAAAACATTTTAAGTGCAAGACCCAATCACAAGCTGGTGCTCTGGACATGAACCATAACTATCTTGCTGAAGAGAGAGATGAAAAAGAAAGAAGACAAGACTCAAGAGAGCAGTGGAAAATAGGCCCATAAACTTCTGGGAAAAACATGAGCTTGCAAACAGTACCTCAGAGCACTGGACAACACAAAAATATCTCTACACCTTACTCAACATTAGTCACCAGGTGCATTCTCACTGAGAAAGGAAGGAAAGAGACTTTCCAAGCTAAATATTGACCACAAACAAAGGAGGTAAAGTGCAGGAGGATAAAATGCCCCAACAAATTAGACTATTGACTCCTTTCCTATTTTACTCCACAGACCTCATCCCTCCCTTGAAGATGATGATGAAAGGTGCACTATAACTACTGCACTATGTATTAATTTCAATGTTAGTGCTTAATTCATAAGTAAATAGTTAAGAGATAAAACATCACTGAAAAGTATGGCCATATCAGTAAGGAACTTTTCCAAGAGTCAATGATGAGATACAAGACAAACAAAATAATAATAATAACAATACAACAGTGTGTCTCCCTTAGTCTACCAAGATAAAGTTCTGAGATCCAAAGCACTGTCTGATCCAGCGTGTATAGCTTGAATAACAGAGATAAGCTACACAGCTTCGCCCATAACATCATTACTCTTAATAACGCAACCACATAATCAATAGTTAGAGATCAGTGGTTGTATAAATTCCCAAAGAGTGGGACGTATGTACGTTCTAAAGGAAACACCACGTGAATCGTATCTTTTAAAAGGAAAGAGCATTAGATTGCTGCTAAGCTATTTCTATCGGATTCAATTGAAGTGCGATTTCTAGTTCCCTCTTCCATTTCGCTCCTTCCCGTTCCTTAAAAAAGAATTATTATTTCGTAAAATTCAAAGATCAACCTTCACGCTTCTTCTGACGTTTAGTTTTCTAAGAACTTTAGCTCATTACCTATAGAAGTTCTCCGAGGCACCGATTCCCACGAGGCAATATGCATTCGTCAACTTGGCGAAAACCCCAACTTCGTTACTGTTTTCAAATTTCGCTCTCACCGCCATGTTTGCAATGCCTCTTTTATGTAGTTAGAATCCGTGTCACAGTAACGGTAAAATGATCGAGTTATCATGGAAAACTACCATATAAAAGAAAGTAAAACGCATTGCACAAGAAAGTGCAACAGGAATGTCAGCGTATCCCCACCTTAGAAAAGGGCTTGTCATGTAGGACTTACTATTACGTCGCACTTAGCTATTGTTTGCATAACTCTCGCAAGCCGCTCTGCGATTTCTTTAATAGATGGGTCCTTTTTGGTCCTGTTTTCAGACAATATGGATTTAAGTTTACAAATTGGGCTGAAATTAGCCTCTATACTGGGGTGAAAGGTAAAAAGGCAAAGGATAGGAGGAAAGGATGGGCAAGAAGGGTAAAAAAAAAAAAACTACTAACACACGAAAAAACCACCACAACGAGAACCACTGAAATCTGACTTTTTCTTTATCAAAGTCCATCATATCCTTTCGAATGAAAGACTGTCGCCACTGGTGAAAAAGAGGAGGAGAGGAAATAAGAAACACGGTTTACATTAACAGATTTATTTCGAGAGTGCTACCTGTCAAAAGTAATTATCTTACGCAGTCATTACGTGCAAGTCCACTTTGCCCAACAATAAAAGCTTTCAAATATCTTATTAACAAATTTATAGAAACATTTTTGCATAAATATTCAAAACCTTCTATTTTGGACATCAAACCCTAATTTACATATTTACAAACATCAATTGAGTTACATTTATTTTTCGTTATATGCACTGAGACATGGAAATGTAGGAAAATCACCGAGACAAAAAATTGCCTCAGCAAATATTGTATCAATCCTTTAGTACAATGTACACTTAAATAATTCTCTCTAATGTATTTCTAGAATTTATAGTCTTAGCAACTAAAGACTACATTTATTCCTTAATTAGTGGTCTCCTTCAAGTGAGAACTAATGAGCCAGCCATTAGTCCTGATTCACGTTTCCTCTTAACCCTTTAACCCTAAGAAACGATTAACAACTGCATCGGTAAGTGGAGGTTGATGCCTGAAACATCCAGGAGCTTCCACTATTGGCAGCCAGCTCCTAGATAGAGACTTCTCCCATGGCTGGCAAATCCTGGCAACCCAGCCCTGAGCCCCCACACAAGAAAGGGAAGCAGGGACCCATCACACTGAATAAACAGTGGAAAGAGGAAATGGGTTGGGAAAAACTGCGTGGGAATGCTACAAGTGCATGCTCAGGGCACACGCAAGAATGCCTAAAATGAAGAGCACACGGAATTCCAACCCATGCACATACGCAAAAAAGGCACTGACTACTTGAGAATGCTGATAATTTTTGTTGTTAACTCCGTTAAATTGCATTTAACTGCATTTAACATGTAAATTCTCCCTCTAATATCCATAGATTATTAAGCCAACAGATACTGAGAATACTCGACCTTCTCAGGTAGAAGTTTTTCTATTGAACTCACACCAAAGTCTTGTGACTAATTTACAAGGAAATGTGTTGCAGCTTCGGGGGAGAATTACCAATCAGAGCTTGGGATTTACAGGGTTAAATTGAATTTTGTTAGTGTGGTCTGATCATCCAAGAGAGAGTTGCTTTGAAAAGGTAATTTGGTTTCACGAACCGAGTTAATAATGTAAATTGGCCATTGTGGAGAGCTTCTAAAACTGATGTTTGAGCATCAGTTCTCTGTCAGAGCTTTGAAAAAGAATGTTAACCCTGTCCCATCACTGAAAACTTCAGTCACCATGTTTAGCTTGCATTTCCACTGTAAAAAGGCCAGAAATAAATATTCATCTTTTTGGAACTACACAACACTTTGTCTTTATCTTTGATTAGTGATCTACCAAATTTAAACTTGCATTCATTTACCCCCTTCCAATATTGATTCATTGTGAGGTAAACATTAGAGTCTACTGTCTGCTTCATCTTCAGATGCCAAATCACTGTGTACTTCACTGTACAACTGACTTGTTAAGCGCTGCATTTCTTCATGTGCGTTGCGCACCTCCTGAAAAAACAATGGAGGTAAAAGAAGGGTAAGCACAGCAGCAACCAACTGAAGCAATAACAACCCTGCAGGAGCCAGCAGTGGTGTTAGTTACCTGTCTTGTAAACTTTCTGGTGAAGAATGGAATGAAATATTTAGCATCAAGCCGTGAAAAGCCCTTCAATGCTTTCTTGCTGCTTATTCTCCATTCATCATCTGTCAGTTGATCTGCATCCACTGCTTTGCCCTGTGGATTAATGAATGTTGGCTTACTGCTCTGTAGATGTACTGGCTGATCAAGGGAGAGAGGAACGGGACACCATGGAGAAGAAATGGGGAAGAGAGAGGAGGGGTTGTAATATTTTCATCACTCACCTCAGTCTGTGTCTTACTGAGTGTTAAACTCTTTTCTAATCCTTGATCTGCTTTGAGTAACTACAATGGTAAAATTATAAAGTGGAAAAAAAATTTAGGTTTATTTCATCCATTGATGAAAACTATTCTCACTATTTCAGCTATTCTAACCTACATGTAATGAGCATTAATTGAAAAGACTAATAGACGCGGTAATGTGGAAAGTATAGTTGATTTAACCAATGTATAAATTTATCTTAGACAATACAATCATCACTGACAATGTATTGAAGGTCAATTCACCTTCAACAGTGGAAGAGTTGATCCACCTAAACACAGAATTGTGAACATGATTATAATAAGTGTAGAAGTGATGAGGACATGTCGCTTTTCATCATCCAACTGAAGATGGAGCACAAGAGCAAAGGCCACAGCCCCCCGCAACCCTGGGAGAAAGAAAATAGAATATATTATTACATCTACCTTACAGAAATGAGCCCTAACCGTATTATTTAGTCCCCAGATTCCAGGATGTCTCTGAGAATGCTTATTTTCAATCACAGATGACTGTTACAAAATCAATTGTAACTGAGATTCTATACACCTTTTTGACTGGAACTGTATGATTAAAGGAAATAGAGTCAACCAGACTTGATGTTACTTATCTTAACTGTACTTAATAACATTGGTTATAAGTTTTTGGTTCACCCTGTGTCCTGATCTCAAATGTTAATGATCATAACAACAAACAGTCCCGAGATGATTCAGGTCACTTCAAGTTCTCAAAGTTTCATAGTGACATTATTTGGAAGAGAACATTCAGGGATGATAAGGGAGGATAAAGTTATTTCATACTCCTAATGTTGTGCATGTAACTAACAGTAAACAATAACCCATACAGACTAAGCATTTCTCTTTTCAACCTACGTACCACTAAACCACATTATAAACTGAGTTTTGCGTGAGATTCTGACATCTCTAAATTGGTTTACAAGAGAAGACAGAGGGTAAATATTCACTGCTCTTCCAAGTAAACAAAGAATCTGTGTGACAATAATTAAAGCAAGAAATTAGTATGTAGTTTGTTTTTAAGTGACAAAAATTGAAAAGGTAAAAATAAGTGAATTCATCCAAAAAATAATTAACTTTGTTTTGCACCCTTTTAAAATCTAAAATCGTATGAATGCTGATCGGTTGGTGTAAAATAGTCTCAGAAACCAAATTCAATAACCAAAATTATTAGTAAAACATTCAGGGAAAATTTTTCTGCTCATTTATCTGCAGGAACAATTTTCCTTTCACAATACTTACTATTGTCCATATGACAAACGCTGGTCTAAACTGATGTTTGAAACTAAAGATTGCCATTCCTAAATAAGCAAATACACATGTTTCTGAAATAAAAAAAAAGGATCATTATTTCTAAACATTCGAGGCAATGACAGACAAATCAAAGCTGCTCAAAGTTGTTCATTTTAGGTTGCTGTGAAAAAGATTTTTTTTTAACACGTATGTTCCCTATAGGAAATGGTTTACAAGAACTGTGTCAGGGGCTTTATCTACCATTGGCAACAAAATGTTTGGCCTTCCAATGCAGTGAGCATAACAGATACAATTATTTTACAATTGAATGTCCCCTGTGCCCAGAGGCAAGCCAGGGTGGCTATTAACAGAGTGCAACTGAGTGAGTTGAACTCAGGATCAACAGATGACATGTCCAGCACCCCAACCACACAGCCGCTGTATAGTTGGGGTATACTCCTTTTATAAACATGGCATGCTCCCTCTATAAACAACTTACAGTTACCATATCAGGGGTTCAGAGAATTCCAAAGCTTGGGTTTACCTCTCATCTAAGTCATTGCATAACTTGAGCATTGTCTCACTTTGAAAAATTTTTGAACACAGACATGTGAATTAAACATACCCGCCATAAAAGCTGTTGTGCGAAAAATCTGTTGTACTGTAATTTGAGTCATGGGTGACAAATTAAAATGGGTGTAGTGAGACATGACAATGCCACAGAACAAAATAGCCATGATCCCTGCAATAAAATGGAATTTAAAAAATTGGTCAAGCTACATTTGAAGTAGACCCACATCACAGTACTTGGGTACATAGCAGGTTGAGCATGGACCAGAAGGAATTCACCTCAGGAGATATTCACAACCAACCAGCTCTTCCTCAAAAAATATTCATGCTTGAATAGTTGAAACCCACAAAATTTTCTACTACAGAAGTTAATTATCAACTGAGAGGAGATGAAACACAATTCTTTACACAGTGTGCAGTTTGGGAAGTTATTTTTCATTATAACTTTTGCATGGTCAGTTGTAAAAATGCCATGCAGTAGTTAATCATGTTTGTATTTAAGAAATAACATCCAACATCTACAGAGTGATTAATAGCCTACCTGATAGTTTCAGGCCTTCTGCCAACCCATAAGGTGCATAAGAAAATATTAACATAGTACCAAGTTCTAAAGAAGGAGTGGTGCGTAAATCAACATGCTTCAAAAGGTGACATTGTCAAGGAAAAATAGATGTTGGTTATTAGTTCTATGTCTTCAAGGTATTGCCCTATACAAGCATTTTTACTCATAACAAAAATCAAACAGTAATGTAAAACTAAAGCATGACAATTTTTTCAAGGATATAAATGCACTTATGAGAGCAAATAGGATCCCAATGCCTGCTGAACCACAGAACATTACAAGAAAATTTCCCACAGCTGAGAAGAAAGTCTCAAAAGAACTACTATCAGCATATTGTGCTGCTCCCATCTCTAGGATAGTGCTGAAAATAAGAGGAGAAATATTTTAACTAGGGTGTTTTCTCTCAAAAAAGGAAAGAGTTTTTGTCTTTTCCCTAATAAAAAGGTAATATCGAGATAATGCCACCACGATGACGACTTAATCTAACAGAATGAAATGGGTTCTTCTCCTGCATGTTCATTCCTCATGCAGTCTACAACCGCTTGAAAAATATGCTGAATACCACAGGTAGGATGCCAGTCCTGCCAATAACTTGAGATTACATGTGACCATTTTAGAAATAGTTCCTCATTAAATTCAAACACATTGGTCTTAACAAAAAAAAAGCATAAATGGCACATCAAAGTTAAAAGAGGAACTATTGACAAATAACATGACAAAGGAATATTATAGAAAACCCACTTACTTAGTCATGACAATGGACACAGCATCATTTAGAATACTCTCACCAAACACCAGCATGTTTAATGTTGGATCAACATCCAGTGCATGGAAGATTGCCAGTGTTGCCACAGGATCCACAGCTGAAATCAGGGAGCCAAAGGCAAAGCTGTGAAAAGGAAACTTACATCAGCTTTGAACCAAACTTCAAAAGCTGTTTCAAAATGTAACCTTGGAAACTTAAAATAGTAAAAGCATCATGATGATTGTTTATCATCATGCTGAAACACTACAAGTCAGTACTACAGTAAATATTGTAAGAAATAGACACCTTTTTTGAGAGACATGTTTTGGCATGCTTATGCCATCTTCAATCAAGGAGTAACAGAACGTGAGTAATTACATAACAGACAAGTAGATGAATAAAATATTTACAGTATGATGAATACAAGCGGGTACTAATTACAAGGAGACACCAAACATCAAAGGTGTGAACTAAAAGGATAGAAAGGTGTTATAATGCTGTAATTGTTTCTTAAGTTCAGGTTTGATCTTATTTATATAAAAAGCTTCTTTGAGTTTTAAATCAATTGAGTTGTTAGCAGAATCTAGAATTCTAAAGCAAGAACAAATACTCCCTTTCTTGCTTTAGTATTCTAGATTCTGCTAACAACTCAATTGATTTAAAACTCAAAGAAGCTTTTTATATAAATAAGATCAAACCTGAACTTAACAAACAATTACAGCATTATAACACTTTTCTATGGTTTTAGTTCACACCTTTGATGTTTGGTGTCTCCTTGTAATTAGTATTACATCATACTGTAAATATTTTATTCATCTACTTGTCTGTTATATAATTACTCATGGTCTGTTACTCCATGATTGATAAGCATGCCGAAACATGTCTCTCAAAAAAGTTGTCTATTTCTTACAATAATTATCATACTTGCTACTACTACGACCTTATGGAACTACAGTAAATACCATCACAGCTCACAAACCCTGAAAACAAGGTTAACATCAAAAAGAGGTGTGAATTGAGATTATAAATCTACAGTTACTCACATGTTTGCCGGTAGACACCTAACGAAACACAATACAACCTCACCTTTCTCTTAAATCAAGCTGAAATGCAACACCACCCTGAAAAGGACAAATTATGAAGGAGACATGTTTTATGAGATATACATTTATTGAAATGAACACAGAAAAAAATTTTATGCAAGAGCAGTCTTAAGGAAATATCATTTTTATCTTGGCTAAGATACATTGCAAATGAAGAGCTCCAATTTAATCTGATTAAAAACTAATTACAATGTACAGCACAGAGTACAGTAAAATTGAAAATTTTGAATCAGACAATTTGTTTTGTTTTCTGGTAATCAATATATTAGCTGTATGAATTGTTTGTTTCCTAAAGGGCCATTCGGGTACAATGGGTAGTCATAAAGATTCCTGAGATAGGAAGAGATTTCTGTTCCTCTACTAACACTTATTATAAATGTCACTTTCCAATTCAATTAATATGCGTAGTTAAACATTAATCATGCTAATAAATTATGTTCAAGAGTGTCTTTATTTTAGCTGATCTTTCGTTAGGTGTTCTCTGATCACACAAAATTGGTTTCTAGGAAGGTTCTTTTTAAAGATAGAGAAACTGCTAACCTTTCCCAATAAATAGATACCACCTCCAATTACAATGGCTGATACAGCTGTTCCAAAAATAGCAAAAACAATAATCGAGCCTATGTTGGCAAAAAAATTACCCTGAAAAAGAAAAGGAAATGCTGAATTAGAATGTACTCCTGAAAAAAAATCAAGAGAAGTGCTGAAATCATCCAAAACTTATTTATATTGTAAAGTTCTCTTTACATGTGAAATGGAGCATTCAAGACAATGACACTGAAAAAAAATGTCTGAAGTTTATACAACATATCTCCCAAATTCTTATAGTATATATATATATATCTTATTAACCAAGCGCGAGGGCCGCACTGGGAGAATATTGGCCCGAGGTCTTGGCAGTACGGACCGCGTGCAGCGAGGTCTGTACAAAAAAAGACCAAGGGCCGATATTCTTCCAGTACGGTCCCGAGCAAGCTTGGTTAATAAGAGATTTATTATACGACTGAAGTTCAAAGGGACACAAGTGCGGTATCATTCGGGACCATTTGGGACAGTGCCCGGTCCAATACTGAGAGAATATTGGACCGGCAATAGAGCATTCTGAATGGTTGATTTTAGTTATTGGCCCTCTGACTGCCCGAGTCGTGTAATAATAAATATTTTTACTTCATGACTATGTAAAGAGTATATTTAACAGAAATTCAATGAGTTTTATTGCCACAACTTGAGAAATACTTTATGTCTGGTCTGCCTGTATTCTGTTTTCAAAGTCATTTAAACAAAAATAAGAGAAATTACAGCAAGTTTGTTTGCAACAGAGAAAAACATCTTTCTGTACTAAAAGCTAAGAATAATATTCTGTTATCTTCTTTTTTAAACAACTGCATAGTAAACAAACACAGACATTAGTTCAGAGTTCACTGATGACATTTCATAATTAGCTATTTCATAATTAAATCAATGTCTTCATTTTCAAGTGGTTAAGAATTCTACAAGAAAGTTAGATTTGAATGCAAACATCGCAATAACCATTACAGTAGAACATAAAGGAGAACATACAGTGGACTGATTTGAAAAATAAAACTCGAAGTCTTGAAACTTTATTAATTTTTAAACTGTCAGTGTTTAAGTCCAAATGAAAAGTCCCTTCTTGTTGTCTGGATGATACTCTTACCTTGTGGAGTGAATAACCAGATTCAAAAATTATTGGTGGCAACAAAATGAGGAAAAATGCCGTAGGATTAAAGTGTTCCTCTTTCTAATATATAAAACAAAAAAAAGGAAAGGAATGAAACAATACCAACTTTGTTCCTGAAACAAATAGTCTTTACCCAAATGAATTAATTCAAAGAGAGTACCAATTTTGTTTTGAAGGGGTGGATTTCTGAAAGCAATACTTTTAGGAGAATATTAAAAACAATCAAATTTTTGTTGTGTTCAATAACACAAAGACAAGATGCAGTTGCAAAATTAAAATTGCACAAATATGCAGAACTGGCACTTTTAAAGATTAACAAAATTGTACAAGCATGCAATTGTAATGAATGTAATCATATTTTATACATACTTAAGCATCTTAGGGACCATATGCAAGGTCTCCATTGAGAAATGAAGAACAAGGAGAATCTTGAAAAGTTAAGAGAGAAGATTTTCCATGTCCAACTGCAAAGTTGGCCACACTTTTCAAGTTTAGATGAGGAATTCTGCCTAGAGGCCACAAAACTGATTCTATATGGGGTTACCTTTAAAGCAAGTTATAATGTAATTCTCAATCAGTGGAGCAAATTTAAACAAAGAATTGTGCCTCGTGGCCACACAATTTATTCTATATGGGTGTGTTATAATGTAATCCTCAAAATATCAAAGCACACATACTTCTAATATTGCTTGTAATAAACAATTATAATAGAAGAATTTATTATATCAGCAAAGCAGAATATTGATACAAACCCTCCAGTCTCCAAGAGCAAAATGGCTTAAGGCTTTAATGACCAAACCGACTAATGCACCTGTAATAAATCATACAAAAACTGTTCATTCAAGGCTTGTTTGTAATGGAGGAAAAAGCATCATGTACAACTTTTAAATACAAGCGTCAAAATTTCAAAAAGGAACTCAATAAATACAGTACTGTCTCTGTAGCACATGTAGGTTGTGAACATTGCAGTCACCCCACACACGATCATCAGAGGTTTCATTAACGGCCAGACACTGGCCAAATTGAGTGGTTATGAGGACGGTTTTGCCCAACTGGTTTGACAATCTGGAGGAAAGTTTATCTCAAAAAGAAGTTCAATTCATTTCAAAGAAGTTCAATTCAATTCAAAAGTTTTGCCTGCCTGTGAAAACATAATGAAACCCCTGCACTATCTGAGATAGTATCCAGAGGTAATTCAACTTACCCAGGAAAATAACAGCTACACTTTCTGGAAGGTAGTGAAATTTAGTCTTCAGTAAAAAGTGGATCAACAAGATACAAAGGGCTACAAGGAAACCAAATGCAGTCATCAGGAAACTGATATTTTATTTAAACAAAAAATAGAGAAATATAAATATATAAAATATTTACAAATAGATATAACTCTTTAAGGGGGATAAGTCATTATACTTCATATATCTTTTCAAAAATGCTCTCTTTCACCAAGCCTCATCTCAAAGAGAAACAGACTGAAGAATGAAATGCTGAGGATGCAAGACAAAAAAAAGAAAAAGATAATGTAGAAAGATAAACACAGTGCATTGACACTATGATCAGTCTTTTCAGAATATACTATAGGTATGTATTTGAAACTTTTAGTCGCTTGAAAATACACTGATCTGATTAATTGGAAAAGAAGTGTTTCACTGTATGAAATGTATAATCATTGCGCAAATACGTCTTTCATCTGATTTTGTAATTCTTTTCCTTGTATTAGGCAGAATTTCCATGCTAAAAGCTAACTGAACTTTTTTAAAGAGTGAGAACACTCTGCCTCTATCTACACCAAAGTACAGGAGGAACTGGGCCTCAAAACATTCCAAATAACAATAAAATGCTGCTGCTACCGCAAGAGTTTTCAATTGTTGTTGAGATCAGTCTCAGATGGCAAGGATCATAATTTTCAATTAAGAGGTCTCAACATAAATTTTACAATGTTAACACAATATGCTGTTTTTATTTGTACTACTAATGGATGTTGGTTGTATCTGCAGAAACATGTGGCATTTAATGGTATCTTTTCTGTCATGGTGTCACCAAAGGTTATCCCAACTTTAACACAAAAATCATTTTAGATTAAGAATAGGAGATAAGCAGCTACTCAAATAATTTTAGAATATAAACGCAGCACGGTAGCAACATAGTAAAATCGGATTCATTGCCACGAAGGATAACAGCTCACAATGAATGAAAAAAAAAAAAAAAAAACTGATATGTGTAGATATCTAGTACCTTCAGCCACAGACCTGACAACTTAACTGTGCATATAATGATTTAAATATCATACCTACAACGAGAAGAATAAAAAAAATTGTCATCGAACTGTGTTGTTCAACCTCCGGTGGTTCGGGCCTTTCTTCGATCTGAGCCTCAGCTATAGTTGGCGGTTGTGTTGTAGTTGTAGTAATTGGTGTAGTTTTTGTCGCATTTCCATCCCCCTTGGTGTTGTTCGTGCTTCAAAACGAATTAAACAACGAAGCGTTGATAACTGTGATCAAAATCAATGGGTGTAAAAATACTTCAAATGAATAAATGACCCGTGTAAACATTTAATATTTTCGACTGGTACAAGAGTCATATTCCAAGTGGCTCACCCAAATGAACTGTTCTTTGGTGACGGAGTTTCTGATGATATACCCTCACACCATGAAACACTAGCGTGGACGACTAAGAGAACGACCACGGCTCGCCGTAGAGGTGATTTCATCATTAAAGGAGAGATATCCACGTCTCAGCGCAAATTTTTCATGGATCAGTAAGCGTCAGTCTCGCCTCGCTGCAGACACCGAAAACATAAGAAAATTTATTGCGCGCGCATACTTTACATAGTGTTTAACGACAAATTACTACTGACAGGCTCATTTTGCGACTTACTTCCCAGCTTCCTGATACACAGGAAACACAATTGGTATTTATAAAAATCACTTTTGGATTTCAGTTTCGCAAGGAAGATTCCGACCGCATTCCATTCACTCTCAAGTTTCACCCTCACAACCACTCAGTTAAATCCATAATTTTTAAAAACTTTAAATTACTTCAAAACGATCCAGAGACGAGCACTATCTTTTCGCGGCCTCCGCTCATTTCATTCAAACGCGACAAAAACATAGACAATTTTTTGGTCAGAAGTTCTTTTCAGACTAATGACCAACCAGGCACTTTTAAATGCGCTCGTGCACGATGCAAAACGTGTCCTTTCATGCATAACACTGAGAAAATATCGGGACCCAAACGATCCATTAAGATCACCGATCACTTCACGTGCACCTCCGCCAATGTAATCTATTACATAACTTGCACTTATTGCAAAAAGATTTATTTCGGCGAAACAGGTAGAAGACAAGGTGACCGATTCCGAGAACACCTTCGCGACGTGGAGAGGAATGATAGGGACACATCGAAACCAGTCGCTAGACATTTTAATTTAATTTACCTAATCATTCAAAGCAACATATGGCAATCTGCGGTCTTTCCTTACACTTAGGTAGCACGGAAAGCCGTAAAACTCTTGAACAAAAGCTCATCTTTCAAACCGGCAATCTAAATCCCACATGAATCAACGAAAGCTTTTCATTCCACTAATTTATTCGTGTTTTTCTCGTTGCCATGTGCCCACCAATAACGTAGCTCCATTTTCCGCCTTTAAAAACACACAACCCACAATTCCTCTATTCGCTCCGACGAAGGGCTAACGCTCGAAACCTCAGCTTTTATAATCGTAGCGGTGGCCAATTTACCATTTCAACTTTGTTGATATATTAAAATTATTAGGTAATATAGTATATTTTTAAATCTTATTTTTTACCTTTTTTAAAATTTCTTACACTTGCTTGTAACAAAAGATGTAGTTCTATCTTTTGGTGAATAAATACTTTATTATTATTATTGAAAGTAGGAGTACACCGCAGTTTTTTTTTCTCTCCTTCACTAATTTTTCCAGCCGAGAACCTGACACAGGCTAGCACTCCCGCGGCCACCTAGACAGCTAGCATTTTAAATCAAGGTCACCGTCACCAACGTGCCTACAATGCAAGATGGCGACTTTGTGCGTTCGTTTATTACTATCAGTCCAATGCAAACTGGAAAATACTTTCTTTTGTTTATTTTGATCATGGAGGAAAAAGGCGGACTAATACATATGTAAAAAAACCAGCAGGCGTTCCAAGATCCAGGGATAAAATGCAAGCGACTGTCATTTTGTATTATTCTGCAAGTCTTACAAGCCCCCCCCCCCTTCTCATACTTATTAGAATTGTTTTACTTCTTTTGATCTGGAGCGGGCAGGAAACATGATTAAGTTTTGCAGCCAACTTTTGCTGCGATAGTTGACGTAGAAGAGAGCGGAGCAGTCGTCAAAAGATCGGCAGGCGCGAGATCTGGCCTTAGCAATAACAGCAAGAGGGGGCAAAAGGAGGATAAACATTAAAGTCGACTACAATCTCCGAGAGAATCCAAATGACTTATCGTAAAATATTCATTGTGGGTCAGTCTTAGAGAGGCTGGATGGGCCTTCAAAATCGTATTGAAACAAAACCGAACGTTAACAGTCTTAACTGCAGAGAACGCATTAAGTCTCAACTATGGTATTATCGAGGAACACTACATGCTACAGCTCTTTGATTGTTTGCACGTTTGTTTGATCGTTCACGCAATGTAAGTTGCTTCAAACACATTAACAAATCAGTCTGTAAACGCCTAAATTCAGAGAGAATAACTACGCCTTTGGCTTTCATCTAAATCTATAGATTCCCGCACAATCTTGGCACGATAGAGTCTTACATGACAAACGGATTTCTCATTAAGCCTCAGAAACGATGGACAATCTCGGAGTCCATCCCATGTCCCGTCGTCGCCCAGAACTTGTCCGTAATTTTATCTTCTGAGGCTCCCAGATATCAGTGTCTTCCTCTCGGGGTGGGATAAATGTCAGTTCAGATAGAGCCCTTTGTTGGGATTCAGGAATCAAATCCAAAGGGAGTCCCCATGCACCATCAGGGCATTGCAAAGACGGAAGAGAGGCGGGTCTGTCGTGATCAGGCTCTAGATAATTGTTTAAGTGACTGGCGGGCGCTTTATTGCCCCGGTTACGTGGCAATTTTATGGTTGCGTCTTCACATAACTTATCACTTGAGTGTCGCCGAGTTGAAGTCTCCCTGGGTTTATCTTTTTCAGATTTACTAAGCAGGTTTTCCATCTCCGACTTTAGTTGATGATTAGGTCGGCCACCAGCTGCTGAGTTGCCTTCGTTACGTAGCAATGCTTGGTCAAGTAATTCTTCACTGGAGTATCGCCGAGATGACGAGTTCCTAGGTCGAAGCTCAAATTTAAGGTGATTGTCAGAGTGTCCAGTCGGTGGGGAGTTGTTTCGGTCAAGTGGCAACGTGCGAATTGTGTGCTCAGTCAATTCTTCGCTGGAGTTTCGCCGAGTTGAATGGTTTCTAGGAATAGTGCCGTAAGGAATTTTCTCACGCATTTCACGACGATCTGATCTTTTCTTACGTGCTCTGTCACCGGTGTGCCCCTTGCGCGCTGGTTCACTCTGCATATGATTTCCAACGACATTGGAGCATTCATCCTCACTCCCTTGGAATGTGCTGAAGCTGGGTCTTCTTGAAACGCTCTCCTGTGATACGAAAGACGCTCCGTCAACTGAAGATGTTCGCTTTTTCGAGCGACGACCCGTGTTGCTGGTTCTTTTGTTATCGTCATCAGTGTCGTGACCGCTGTCCTCGCTAGCTGCGTTTCCGGCATACATCGTTGTCACAACAGGCTGCAAAGAAGCGGTGCGTGACACGTCAGTCTGGTTACCCAAGCTACGTATACTTGGGGTTCGACTCGGAGGCCTCAGCGAACCGTTTAAACTCCTGTTACCAAGGCTGTTACATCGGTCACAACCATTACAACTTGCTCGCCTGAGTGCGTTCTGTCTGTGAAATGCCAGTCTCTGAATAATACTGTCTCTCTTTCGGTTGATGAAAACAAAATAAAACAGAAAGCTTCCAACAGTAAAGAACAAAACAGGTCCAGCAAAGACCGCCAAGTAAAACCAAATACGGGGCTCACACTGCCAAGTTGTCACAAGGTCATTATTGTGATAATGAGGATTCTGTGTTACTTCGAGCACGCCGACTTCTGATGACCCAATCAGTAATCTCGCCGAACATGCTTCGTTTGCACCCGCGCTACAACTATATACTGAAGAATCCACATCGTACACTTTACGACTTAAAGTCATTCCCAGGTTCATTTTTGAAACATCGTTATCTTGTTTTGAGAATTTAAAAAGAATGTAATAGTAGCCTGTTTCTTTTGCGGAAAGAGTGTAAGATATTCTTGAAGGCTGCGGAGAGTATTCCCCAGAGAAGCCACTTTTCTCCGTAGAATCCCCATTCTGAAGAATCCATTCATCACGTCGTTGTCTGTCCTTGAAAATAAAAAGCTTCAATGGGCCATCGGACTCGGCATTTATAACGACGGATGATCCTTTTAATAAATAGAAACTCTTGTACCAATAACTAAATTTTGAAACTAACACATCAGTAGAAATATTTGTTATTCGCAGTTGGGGACTTACGCGCGAGGACGGCAGAATCCACAATTTTCGCGTAGAGGAATCTTGTCCAAGCGATATCTCTCCACAGAAAGCCGTAGATACCGATATCAGCCTCATATCGCCTTGAGTGAGATCATAGGTCTGCGACAGAAATACTGAGAAGTTTAAAATAAGAATAATGAACGCCAATGCTGCTGATAGCACAATCAAAGTAGATATTCCAGCACAAATCCAAATTCGAAGCCGCCATTGTTGGTTTTTCATGTATTTCTTTCCATCAAGGTTGTCCGGTACATAGATAGCCTCAACTGTTGTGGTCGCTGCCATATCAAAATTGTTCTTTTAGTTCGTTACCGTGTAATTAAAATCAAGAGGACACAGATCGACTTTCTGCCCTAAAACGACCCGTAACAATGGACTGAAACGTGATACGACTTTTGGAAGACAGAGGGGTTTTAACTGTCACACGCTTGTCAACACGAATATGGACAGCTGGTAACTATAGTCAGTATTCCATTGGTTTTCTTTTGTTCCTTTTTTGCCAATCAACTTATCGGGCTGGATTTAAATTTAAGTTTCAAATTATTATATCTTATTTCATATCTCCTGTTAGCATTATTGGTCTGTACAAATAAGCCGTTCTATGCCTGGTAACTGTACAGGAAACTGCACCCTTACCACTCCCATCCCAAACCGGAATAAAATCAAAAGCACCGTCAGGATAAACAATCATGATAAACACAATTCTTGTACGCTCGAGGGGTTTTCAGACTATACTGGGGTACATGCTTCTCTTTTCAAGTCAGTTCTTGAAAATAACTCGTGGGAATCATTTTGGTCGCGCTAAGGGTCTTCGCTTATCACTTCGGGACTCTCTCGCCGCAGCTCTAGCTACAAGGTTGTTTAGAGCGTTTTTCCTTCCCATCCGCCTGCAATATTACAGAAGGATCTAAAGGCTATTTATCAGCATTAGTATTTTTATGATTACACACCCAAACCTCTTTATGCACAACTCTCAAGTTTTGGTTCTTATTGTTTGCAGTGTTTCCTCTTTGCTAGACCATACTATCAGTAAGAAATAGCTTCAACTCAGTGATTATTCTACTGATTATTTAGTCTGCAGCTAGCCTGGAGTGAGGGGAGGAGACAACTTAGTGGATCATCGGGAGAGGGTGCAAACAAGGTAAACCTTGGTAAACCTTGGTAAACCTTGGTAAACCTTGTTCCGGTAAAAATGACACAGCGACCCCAGAATCCCACTTCAAACGTATTTAGACAAACACGTGTACAGCGCTCATCCTTCAGACCCTGTTTAAAAGAAAAACTCTATTTTCGAGGCATAAAAAGCACGTATTGGTTACTCCACTGAGTGAGAGAGTACCCGGCCCCGTCCCCCGGAGTATTCCCATCGACCGTTCCTTTCTTCTTCGGGTCGATCACTGCTTGGTTCGGAAACAGATTACGGGCGGCCAGGTACCTAAGCTGTTCCGGGCTCTCAGTCGACGGAGGCGAGTGAAAACCCGGCGCTGAACGACGAACGGCGGGGTGTGGTCGTCAGAGTAACGGTTAAGTGAGGCCCGTCGCGTGATTTTTCCCGTTTGCTTTTTCGCTAGTTATTTCCACAGGGCGTACAGGCTACCGGATACTAAAACACTACTTAGCCTGTACTATGCTTTAGTTGTGCCTTTTTTAAACTACTGCATATTTGTTTGGGGTAATACCTATCGGACAGCTTTGCAACCTTTATTTATATTACAGAAGAGAGCCTTGAGAATAATTACTTTCTTTAGTTATAACGAACATTCAAGTCCTTTATTTAAAGATCTAAATGTTGTGAAGCTGTTTGACGTTATTATAATATAATAATATAATATAAAAGTCTTTATTCCATCATAAGATAAAACTACATATCTTATATTACAATGAATTCGGAAAAACTACAACAGAAATCTACATACATATTATGAGTTAAAAAGTATGTCATTACAATAAATGGAGCTTAATAAATATCAACCTGTTTACAAATTACCTTTCAACTTGCAGTATTATGCATAAGTTTCACAAGAAACTCTTACCTCCTGTATTTGACCCTTATTTCAATTCTGTTAGGATGTTACATAATTATAATACCAGATTATCCAGTAAAATGACTTATACTATTCCAAATGCCAGAACAAATTATGGAATCTTCAACATAAGATTTCAGGGTGCTAAAGTCTGGAATGATATAAGTGAAGACATAAAGCTTCCTCCTCTGAAACGTTCTAAGAAAAACCCTAAGCTAATTCTTCTTGATAAATATTAATAATTTTTCTGGCCTTCCGCTTGTTTTTTACTCTGATATTCCCTGCTTCCTTTACCTTGTTTTGTATGATGAATGAGTGTGTGTGTGTGTGTGTGTGTGTGTGTGTGTGTTGTGTGTGTTATATCTGACCCAAATAATTACATTACATAAATCACCTAAGTATAGCTGCCCTTTTTTTCTAGCCCTATGGTTATGTGGGGCAGCCAGTGCTCCTTTACATTCTTGTCAATTTATCATTATTTTTATCACTATTTTTTATGTTGGGTACAAATAAAGTTGTTGTTGTTGTTTGTTGTTGATACCAAGAGGCTTTTTACTTTTTGCTCCCACGAACACAGCAATGACAAATGTGAAACACATAACATTAATTTAACAACGTATCACACAAAATAATTACGTCGCTAAACTCAAATTGGCTTCGGGAACTGTAACGATTTATCCTATATGGGAGTAAATTTCAAACTGACTAAANGAGGGAGGGGGGTATTATATGGTAATTTGGTTTTCTGAACTTAATTGATCATGTAAATTGGTCAACGTAAAGAGTTTCTGTCCCGCCTTAAATAAGCAAATCACGAAATTAAAAAATTAAGTGCTTACATCGTATCACATTGGACTGGGCCCAACAATTTCATAAGTATAATGTCTAAGTATAGTGTACGAATATAAAATATAAACAATTATAATAAACATATAGGTGGTCAATTCATTTAAGACGTTCACATAACTTAAGTGAAATAATAAAAAAAGAAGGGAAAAATTTTAAAAGAAGAACGAGAGAGCTGTTGGTGTTCTTGCAATCGGTTGGTTCTCGTAGCTGTAAATGCCTTAGGTCACAAAGGAAGCTTATAGAAATACATAATGCGTGATCATAAGCGGAAATTGTGTATATTTGAACGAATAGATCAATGGAAACCGGCATTTCCTTTCAAAGTAGATGTCTTTCAATGACTTGTTTTGATTGGATAGTTTGCAAAACAATTCCACGACCCGTTCTCAGCAAGATACATCCTTGAGTCTCGTTGTGCGGTGAGGAGCTAGCGCTCTCAGCTACCATTATAAATTTAGACTTCAATTTTCTAATTTTGCCTCTTCAATAAAAGTGCGTTTGGATTGACAAGTCTGGGTTTCTCTTCCGTCGGCACTGTTAGGCAGATAAGATGAGAATACCGATTTGTTATCACTTATTCGTTTCCCTCCACATGGTACAGTGGTACGTCAGTACACGAGCCCACGCAATCAGGGTTGTTCGTTGCGCTGTTCATTTAGCGACAAAATCCATCTAAAACTTCGATGTCTCTTCGTGGTCCCCTGTTTTATCATACACTGTCATTGACAGTTTAAGCCTCCCAGCGAACGTTGAATAAAGAACACACTGAGGCCCAGACACTAGTGTGTGCCTAGGAAAACATGGCGCAATAAACGATCAGATTTGAATCTATCCACAACGCTTCAGTACCTTTGGGCTCACTGGAATAATACCATCGTTTTCTTTTTTGCACGATTTACTAGAGAAAATTAGTGGTGTTCGAGCTACATGGCATGGATCAAACACGTTTTTTCAAAAAGGTTTTCAGTTGGCGAGAGTTACATCTCACCATTCAGTACTTATTACAATTCGATTGCCAATTATCCTTTTCGCTTTTGAATGTCATTTCATCGATAAAATTTGTTAGAACTCCGTTTCATCAGTCATTACGAATCTTTTGGTTGTACATGAATAGTGAATGTCTGATGGTAAGGCTTTAAACTGGTTTACAGCCCTTTTTTCTGCGTGACTAATGCCGGGATGTGAGAGAAAATACGAAATACAAATCATGAGGTCAAGGCGGAGTTGGGAAAAGTCACGCGAAGATGGCTTAGACAACGCCCAGTAATTATGGAACATTTTTGTTTTGTTTTGTTTACATTCTTTTCACTTTTAGCCTTTTGTAGGTTGCAATGAATTGACAGAGGCATTCTTTTAACAGCTTACAGAAGAAATAAAAACCTTTAGGTGAACTGTTAGTAAAGTTATAAGAAACTCAAAAGAGTGATCATGATGGTCTCCATGGAAATATATATTTAGTGTTGAATGTATGTACGTGAGTGAACGGAGCCAGGATATTGGCCTGATACTCATTAACAAGCCATTCTGTCTGAGTGATATGTAGGCCATGTTGTGTAATCCACGTGCAAACTTTATTTTTGAAAATGTGACACTAATGAAAGATAACGTTGACACGTTATACGTTATACGTTTTCTCACAAAAACTGCGTTGAAATAAGATGAAATGTCACCTTTTCTTTCTTTATTTTTTACATTCAAAGCATGTCAAGTTGTAAGTTTATATTAGCTCTAAGTGGCCGTATTTTAAACCTCAATTGAAGTCACCGCTGGCTTCAATATTGTCTGCAACCAAATACAACGAAAGTTTATCGCTGTTTAGTTCCTGTATGTATTGCTTTTGTGCCGTTAAAAAAATGTTTCCATCTTGACCGATTTGAACTCACCTCCACATATTTACAGTATCTTATTTTTTTGTTTTTCAAGTTCTTTTTTTCAATTACGTAATTCTATTCAAACTGTCTATCTGACGATGCCGTTTGTTATTACTCGTGTCTCTGGCGACAGACAGAAGGCGAAATCAACAGACGGAACGACTAGTCTTTGTTAAAGTTAAAAGTATTGTTCTACTTTGGAGTTGATGATAGAACAAAGTGGACGATAGAACAGACCATTTAACCCCCTGGTCACCGGCCATAGTAGTCCTTTCTTGATGTTCAATCAGTGGTAGGGTAGTAGCACAGCGCAAAAATACGAGCGAGGTTAGGGCCGACCGAAGATTTCCTTCTTCACACGCTCTGCACATCTACCGCGCCTTGTTTGCGATATGAAAGCCCGGAATTCGAACAGTTTAGCCCATTGTATGCAGTGATAGTCAGTTTCGCTGAGCCATCGGTGAAATAACTTAGAGTGCATTAAGATGTACTTCCTTCAGATTAATTTAGACGCTGGTCTATCATTAGATATCCCAATATGCAAGTTTTCTATCAGGCTGTCTAATCAGGCCTCTAGCCTCTCTCTTACTTTAGTTGGACT